ATAGGGAAAAACTTACAAGGAATCAAAGAGCCTATAAGGACTGCATCTAAGAATAACAGGCATGGTATTGGATATATGGGCTTTTAACCTGGACCATTTTAAAATGGAAGGTGTTACGACACTTCACACTGAAATACTTCATTTTCTTTCATAACCACAATACAATCATCAAAATCAAGAAATTTATAGGGAGTGGTGGTGCACACCTATAATCCCAGCATACCAGAGGCTGAGGCAGAATTACAAGTTTGAGGCCAGCCTGGGGTACACAGTTAAGACCATATCACAAGGGGGCTGGGGATTTAGCTCAGCGGCAAAGCGCCTGCCTGGCAAGTGCAAGGTCGTGAGTTTGACTCGGGGTACCAGAAGAAAAACAAAACAAAACAAAAGACCATATCACAAAAAATAACTGAATAATATTAAAAAGGGGATGTAGCTCAGCAGTCCGTGGATTTGGTCCTCAGTATCAAAAACAAAGAAAAAAGAAAAATCAAGAAGCTTACCGTGGAGACAGTGATAAATGTAGTCTTTTTTTTTCTGTAACACTGACATCGGCAAGTGTCCACCACTGAGCTCTCCCACCTGCCCATCCTACTTACTATAGCGTTATAGTAAAGGCCATCAAAGTGTATGTTAATGTAAACTTTATATCAATAAAGGGAAGAAAATTAAATTGCTCACTTTTTCACCATGCAGGTTTGCTGTTATTGTGTGTACCCTCCCAATGTTTTTCTACACTATAAATGTTTGTGTGTAGTGTGTCATATGCCCGCATGTATGTTCCTATATGTTGTTTCTTATCTTGCTGAAGACACAGCCTAAGGGAACAATTCTCAACCCGGTTGTGGTGACAGGGTTTCCCTGCCAGCTGACATCTGTGAGGTATCTCAGGAATTTGTCACAAATGTTAAAGGAAGTATTACAGTTTGTGAGTAATTTCCTTTAAAACTCTTTGAGTAGCCATACATGGTGGCATGTGCCTCTGATCCCAGCACTTGGGAGGCTGAGGCAGGAGGATCACTGCAAATTTGAGTTGTAGTGATCTCACATAGTGAATTCAAGGCCAGCTTGAATTACATATCAAGATTCTGTCTTGC